GAAATCTAATTTTTCTTTAATTCAATTTTCTTAATTCAATTTTAAAAGAGTTGCCTTTACAATTTTTCTTCGCAATAATTCAATTATTTTCATAAATAATCAAAAAATTTATAGATTTACAATTATTTTCATAAATAATAAAAACTCATCGCAAAATTTCAAATATATTTAATACAATTTTAATGGAATTTCTCGAAAAATGTATAATTATTCTTAAAAATTTTATTCAAATTCATCAAAGAAATTCAATTCTTTTCAAAAGTAATAAAATTCTGCGCAGAAATTCAATTATGATCAAAAGTTTAAAAAATTTATCGTCAAAATTTCAATTATCTTTATAAATATTAAAATTTTTCTCCAAAATTCAATTATTTTCAAAAATGTTAATGAAATTCTTTTTAACAAATTCAATTTTTTTTCAAAAATTCTCCTCCAGTCAATATTTTTAAATATATCTACTATTTTAATAAAATTTTCCAAAAGAAATGAATTATTAAAAAAAATTTTTTTATAAATTTCTTCGCAATAATTCAATTATTTTCGAAAATATTCAATTTATTTTTACCGAGATTCAATTATTTTTATAAATATGTAATACAATTTTTTACAGGGATTCAATTATTATTTTCATAGATAATAAAACTCAATGCAGAATTTCAATTATTTTTGATACAATTTTAGTCGAATTCCTCGAAAAATGTAATTATTCTTAAAATTTTATTAAAATTCGTCAAAATAATGCAATTATTTAAAAATTTGTTAATAAAATTCTTTATGAGAATTCAATTATTCAATAAATTATTTATTTTGTATTAAAAATAATTAGGTATTTAAAAAAGAAATATTATTAAAAAATTCGTCTTAAGAATTCACTTATTTTTAAAAGTAATAAAATTCTTAGCAGAAATTCAATTATGGTCAAAAGTTTAAAAAAAGTTATAGTCAAAATTTCAATTATTTTTATAAATATTAAAATTTTTCTCTAAAATTCAATTATTTTTAAAAATTTTAATAAATTTCTTGGCAATATTTCAATTATTAAAAAAATTTTAACAAAATTCTTGACAAAATTTCAATTATTTTCAAAAACTTTTCTCAATTCAATGAAATTTTTTTACAGAGATTCAATTATTTTTAATACATTTTTAATCTAATTTCTCGAAAAATGAAATTATTCTTAAATTGTTGATAAAATTCTTTAAATGAGAGTTGAATTTTAAAAACCATTCAATTTTTCAATAAATTATTTTTTTGTATTTAACCCCTTAACTGTTTGAGGAAAATACAACATGATTGTCCCAAACTGCCCAGCGGAATGTGATACTTCTTCAAATAGTATAATATATTTAAATTATAACTAATTATTCAATTATTTTCTAAAATATCATTAATGACCCTTATAATTTCTTATAATATTGATATAAAGAAAAATATCTATCAATTTATATACAAATTATATTTATTTTGACTCATAGTGAACACGACCCACGGGTGGGTCGGAAACAGTTAAGGCCACACTTTTTCACGACCCACCCGTGGGTTGGAAACAGGCAACGGGTTAAATAATTGAATTGTCGTAGAATTTTCTAATAATAATTGATTGAAATATGAATTTCAGTTAAAACTTTAGATAATAATTGAGTTTTGAAAAGATTTCAAATTATAATCTTTGAATGTTTGAATTTTTCATACTTTTAACTTAAAATTGTGTAGATTTCATTTTTTTGTAAAAGTTGAATTGAATTTTTTTGAAGTTATTTCAAGTTTTTATTTTCTAATATATTATATTTGATTGAAGAATTTCCGAATACCTGAATAATCGATGAAATTTCGTAAAATTGAATATTGTAAACAAAAGGATTTGAAATTGTTGAAAGAAATTTTTCAGAAATTATTAATAATAATTAATTTACACTTTATAAAGAAGAATTTTAGTTAGAAATTGTGGAAAACAATAATTGAATTAAAATAATAAAAGTAATTTTGAATAAGTTACAGTAACAATATTCTTATAATACGTATAAAATGATGATTTTATCAGTCCCACATTTTTAATTATTATAAAACATATTTAATTTCAAAAAGGTTAGAATTAAAAATTTTGTAAAATATAAATGTAGTTTTAAAAACCTGGAAAAATTCCGTTTTTTAACCTGGAAAACCTGGAAAAGTCAGGGAATTTAAAATGAGTAAAAGCGTGGCAACCCTGAAAATGATTTACAAAAAGAAAATTTCGCGCGTTGCGGAAAATGTATTTTTTAATAATTCTTATTACATGGGGGAGGCGCAAATGGGGCGGTTCCACCACTCGGGTTGGGGTCAAATTTTTTTCTTGAAATCTTGGCTCAATGTAAAATGATTTCCAAACAGAAAATTTCGCGAGTTTCAGAAAAAGGAATTTTTAATACTTTTTATTACATGGGTGAGGCAAATGGGGTGGTTCCCCCACTCTGATTCGGGTCAAATTTTTTGTTTGTAATCTTGGCTCAATGGAAAATGATTTCAAAACAGAAAATTTCGCGAGTTTCAGAAAAAGGAATTTTTAATCATTTTTATTACATAGGGGGTGGTAAATGGGGCAGTTCCCCCACTCAGATTCGGGTCAAATTTTTTGTTTGTAATCTTGGCTCAATGGAAAATGATTTCCAAAAAGAAAATTTCGCGCGTGGCAGAAAATAAAATTTTAAATCATTTTTATTACATGGGGGGTGGTAAATGGGGCGGTTCCCCCACTCAGATTTGGGTCAAAAATTTTGTTTGTAATATTGGCTCAATGTAAAATGATTTCAAAAAAGAAAATCTCGCGCGTGGCAGAAAATATAATTTTTAATCATTTTTATTACATGGGGGGTGGTAAATGGGGCGGTTCCCCCACTCTGATTCGGGTCAAATTTTTTGTTTGTAATCTTGACTCAATGGAAAATGATTTCCAAAAAGAAAATTTCGCGCGTGGCAGAAAATAAAATTTTAAATCATTTTTATTACATGGGGGGTGGTAAATGGGGCGGTTCCCCCACTCAGATTGGGATCAAAATTTTTGTTTGTAATATTGGCTCAATGTAAAATGATTTCCAAGAAGAAAATTTCTCGCGTGGCAGAAAATATAATTTTTAATCATTTTTATTACATGGGGGGTGGTAAATGGGGCGGTTCCCCCACTCTGATTCGGGTCAAATTTTTTGTTTGTAATCTTGGCTCAATGGAAAATGATTTCAAAAAAGAAAATCTCGCGCGTGGCAGAAAATAAAATTTTTAATCATTTTTATTACATGGGGGGTGGTAAATGGGGCGGTTCCCCCACTCAGATTTGGGTCAAAAATTTTGTTTGTAATATTGGCTCAATGTAAAATGATTTCAAAAAAGAAAATCTCGCGCGTGGCAGAAAATAAAATTTTTAATCATTTTTATTACATGGGTGAGGCAAATGGGGTGGTTCCCCCACTCTGATTCGGGTCAAATTTTTTGTTTGTAATCTTGACTCAATGGAAAATGATTTCCAAAAAGAAAATTTCGCGCGTGGCAGAAAATAAAATTTTAAATCATTTTTATTACATGGGGGGTGGTAAATGGGGCGGTTCCCCCACTCAGATTGGGATCAAAATTTTGTTTGTAATATTGGCTCAATGTAAAATGATTTCAAAAAAGAAAATCTCGCGCGTGGCAGAAAATATAATTTTTAATCATTTTTATTACATGGGGGGTGGTAAATGGGGCGGTTCCCCCACTCTGATTCGGGTCAAATTTTTTGTTTGTAATCTTGGCTCAATGGAAAATGATTTCAAAAAAGAAAATCTCGCGCGTGGCAGAAAATAAAATTTTTAATCATTTTTATTACATGGGGGGTGGTAAATGGGGCGGTTCCCCCACTCAGATTTGGGTCAAAAATTTTGTTTGTAATATTGGCTCAATGTAAAATGATTTCAAAAAAGAAAATCTCGCGCGTGGCAGAAAATAAAATTTTTAATCATTTTTATTACATGGGGGGTGGTAAATGGGGCGGTTCCCCCACTCTGATTCGGGTCAAATTTTTTGTTTGTAATCTTGACTCAATGGAAAATGATTTCCAAAAAGAAAATTTCACGCGTGGCAGAAAATAAAATTTTAAATCATTTTTATTACATGGGGGGTGGCAAATGGGGCGGTTCCCCCACTCAGATTGGGATCAAAATTTTTGTTTGTAATATTGGCTCAATGTAAAATGATTTCCAAGAAGAAAATTTCTCGCGTAGCAGAAAATATAATTTTTAATCATTTTTATTACATGGGGGGTGGTAAATGGGGCGGTTCCCCCACTCAGATTTGGGTCAAAAATTTTGTTTGTAATCTTGGCTCAATAGAAAATGATTTCAAAAAAGAAAATCTCGCGCGTGGCAGAAAATAAAATTTTTAATCATTTTTATTACATGGCGGGTGGTAAATGGGGCGGTTCCCCCACTCAGATTTGGGTCAAAAATTTTGTTTGTAATATTGGCTCAATGGAAAATGATTTCCAAAAAGAAAATTTCGCGCGTGGCAGAAAATAAAATTTTAAATCATTTTTATTACATGGGGGGTGGTAAATGGGGCGGTTCCCCCACTCTGATTCGGGTCAAATTTTTTGTTTGTAATCTTGACTCAATGGAAAATGATTTCCAAAAAGAAAATTTCGCGCGTGGCAGAAAATAAAATTTTAAATCATTTTTATTACATGGGGGGTGGCAAATGGGGCGGTTCCCCCACTCAGATTGGGATCAAAATTTTTGTTTGTAATATTGGCTCAATGTAAAATGATTTCCAAGAAGAAAATTTCTCGCGTGGCAGAAAAAATAATTTTTAATCATTTTTATTACATGGGGGGTGGTAAATGGGGCGGTTCCCCCACTCTGATTCGGGTCAAAATTTTTGTTTGTAATATTGGCTCAATGTAAAATGATTTCCAAGAAGAAAATTTCGCGCGTGGCAGAAAATATAATTTTTAATAATTTTTATTACATGGGGGGTGGTAAATGGGGCGGTTCCCCCACTCAGATTTGGGTCAAATTTTTTGTTTGTAATCTTGGCTCAATGGAAAATGATTTCAAAAAAGAAAATCTCGCGCGTGGCAGAAAATAAAATTTTAAATCATTTTTATTACATGGGGGGTGGTAAATGGGGCGGTTCCCCCACTCAGATTAGGATCAAAATTTTTGTTTGTAATATTGGCTGAATGTAAAATGATTTCCAAAAAGAAAATTTCGCGCGTTGCAGAAAACGGCATTTTTAAATAATTTTTATTACATATTAACTTTTTATACTTTTATTTTTTTTAAATTCGTTGATCGTAAACGTTGTGAACTTCACCTACCTTTTCATTTTTCATTATTTATCAGATATACTAACAGCATCTATTTTCAAATCTGGCGAATTTTCTTCTTTGGTGTCAGTAATCTTTTCCTCTTCTTCGTCCTCGGATTCACTGCTTTCGGAGGGTGGAAAATCTGGCATTGCTGAAAAATATAAATCACTATTTTAGAATCATCGCATAATTATTATCTTCGTACAATAGGAAATTTATTCTTTTTTACTTCTTTCTTTCCCTTCTCTTAATAAAAAGACTGTGAACTATTAATTATTAATTAACTATTAAAAATAAATAAAAGACTACGAATCGTAAGATTAAATAAACAAAACTCGTTAGTGAAGTTCAAAATATAATCAACGATTTTGAAGAAAAATTTCAATTTTCATTTCTCAGATCTTTCATCAATTTTTTAATCCAATTATTAAAAACTTCAATAATTTTGTTAGAAATAAATATTTAAAATACTTGTTATTTATTTCTTCACTAAAACTAAAAATTTTTTAATTTTCCAAAACTTAATTATTTTCTAAATTTTCTACCAAAACTTATTATCTAATTCAAATATTTTGAATAGTTTGCCGAAAGTTCTTACAAAAATTCAATTCATTATAAAAATTATAATACAAAAATTTAAACAATCAGTTTTTTAAATAAACACAACTTTTCGATAATAATTGACTTTCTTAAAAAAAATTTTGGTTAATTTAAAAATTACACTGAAAAAAATTTATTTGATTCAAATAATCGATTAATTGACTATTATCAATTAAATATCTACTCGAAACAAAAAATATTTATTGGAGTCAATTAAATGGTATTTAAACTAATAATTTCAGTATTTGAAGCAAATACCATTTAATTGACCTCAATAAATATTATTTGATTCAATTAAATATTTAATTGATAATAGTCAATTATACTAAAAAATTTTTAAATTGTTTTATTTCTCTAACATTTGAATAAAAAATTATAAAAAAATTTTTAAAAACTTTAATGTAAATATTTTTTATAGATTCTTGAATTTTATTTATTAATAATAATAAATAATTTTATTTGAAAATTATAAATGAAAACCTATGAAAAATAAACAAATATTTTAATTTTAAAAAATTATATAAAAAAAAAAAATTCAAAAAATTACTTTCTTAAAAAACATTTTTAAAATAATTTTTTGAAACTAATTTTTATTCGAATATTTTTCATTAAATTTTTTAAGAATTAAGAATTTCAAGATTTTAAAAATCTACAATTAAAATTCATCAATATTCTTTGAGAATTCAATAAATTAAATGCAGAAATTCGTTTTTCTTTTATAAAGATTACATAAAATTCTTCATAGGTAGGTACTTAAAAAATATTTATTACGGTAAATTTTTAAAAATACTAAAAATAATTAATTTTTAAAAATAATATTGAAAAAAATGTTAAAATCAATTCTTTAAAAATAATTTTAAATAATTATTGAAACATAATTTCCATACACTTGAAATTTAGTAAAACATTTTTGAAAATAACTGAATTTTTCATAGAATTTTTGAAAAACACTTAAAAAATAAACAAGTTTTTTAAAAATTTTAATTACAAATAAATTTGGATATGATTGATTTCTCCAAAATTTTAATAATAATTCTAAAAAATTAGATTTTTCAAAAAAAATGTTAATGTCATTTTTTGTAGCAATGTGAATTTTCAAAAATATGTAATTAAAAATATTAACAAAACTTGAATTTAAAAAAATTATGAAAAAATACCAAGAATTTCTTTATTAAAAAATAATTTAATATAATTATTTATGCTAATTGTTATTGATTTTCGTTTTAAAATTCTCATTTGATAATTTTCCACATTAAAATTATTGAGAGTTTAATTTTTTTCAAAATTTGCAGTTAGAATTCTTCAAAATGTGATTTTCAATAAAAGTTTTCCAAATTTCAATTATTTAAAAATTTTCTAAATCGTCTATTTCAAAAATTTAATACCTAATCTTTAAAAAAATATAAATTTTAAATGATTTTATTGTATTTATTTTTCATCCTACAAAAATCGAAATAAGTTGCAATTTATTTGTTATGTGATAAAAATGTAAAAAGAAAGTTTTTAAACAAAAAATAATCACTAAAAATATTCTTATTCTTGAAATTATTAACTATAATCGTTGTGAAGTTTACCTACTTATAGAAACATTAATTTTTTCTAACCTTTGCAATTTTAAATTAAATTAAATACTTAAATAAGTAAATAAATGAATAAATAAGTGAATAAATAAATTGAATAAGTAGATGAATAAATAAATAAATAAGTAAATAAATGAATAAATAAGTGAATAAATAAATTGAATAAGTATATGAATAAATAAATAAGTAAATAGATTAATTAACAATATGGAAAGAATAATAATTATAAAAATACAAATTTACCAAGTCGATCAATTTTCTCCTGTCGTGCATCAGCGAGAAATTTATCCTGAACTTCAATTATTTCCTCGACACTCGTGCATTTAGCGTATTTTTCAAGCAATTCGGCATTCAATTCAAGAAACGAGTGTCCCCAGGAAAATTTATTGAGATAAAATTCAGCCTCCGTGGAAAAGCCAGTTATAATTAAAGTCGCAGCTATTGCCTCAACGCAACTTAATTGACACGGTTTTCCATAATTTATAGGATTCGCCGCAACCAAAAACGGCAATAATCTCGGATTTGGCGTTTTCATTCGAGAGAACGGCGTGTCTTCCAATCGTGCCCAACTGCAATCAACAACTGCACAACCATGTTCCTCGACAATTTCTCTATCCATCGGACTCACACACTGCAAAAGAAAAAAGAAACTGATGAAAACAAATTTTACGTGTTTATTCTGTTTATTTACAATTTTTCTAACTTTATCCAAAAACAGCGTAAAAAAGTTTATAAGACAAAAATCGTTGATTATAAAGATTATAAATTTCACCAACGTAAAATCAATAAATTAATACTGTTCCCCGTATTATATTAAATTTCAATTTTTTTGAGAATCAAAAAATATAATTCTCTCACGATCTTTTATTATGTTCTTTAAACAAAATTTGAATTTATGATTAGATTTAGTTTAATCCAATGAATATAATTGAATAAATAATAATAATAATAATTCAATAAATAAAAAAAAAATCTTTAAAACGCTAGAGTATTAAAATAGCGTATTTCAAAAAGAAAATAAAAATACTTTTTTTCCAACTGGTGTCAGGACAATTCCTGCGAAACGTGCTCCAAGTCGTAATGTTTTCACTAAACCGTGTCTCGCCAATTTTCTGCCAGAACATTTTTTCGGATCACAGTGTTCCAAGTCCCACATGGCCACAGGAAAAGAAATAGTCGATTCTTCTTCGGATTCTGCAATTAAATTTGAATGAATTAATTAAAAGCCTCTTTTCTTTTTGCCTAAAATAAAAATTTAGGAAATGATAGCAAATATAAAGAAAAAAGAATACATTTTTAGGTTATGTCACAAATGATGTCAAATTATGTCAATAAATTTCAATTCTAAAGCAATTGCACAAATACCAATTAAGTAAATTAAATAAAAAGGATAAAAACTTAAAAAATAATATAAAGAAAAGGAAGAATACATTTTTAGGTTATGTCAAAAACGATGATGGCAAACATGACAAATAACCCAAATAATGTCAAAAAGGTCAACAAAATTTCAATATAAAGCGTGAAATAACAAAAGTAAAATAAATAACAATTTATTAACAATAAATAACATCAGAATATGAAATAATTTTGAATAAAATTAATTCGCTTTCACAATTATTATCAAAACTAACCTGATCCATCTTCCCTGTCAGATCTGTCTTGTTCCTGACGATATCTCTCCTCTTTGCCAACAACTTGTCTTTTTCTCCTCTCAGCAACTCGATTCCTTAATTTCTTTCCTTTTCCCGACATTCTTCAAGGTGTTCAACAGCGTTCAATTAACTATACACGATTTTTAACCTTCTGCAAAGGCACTTGTCACTTGTCACACGCACACGCACATGTATTGTTAGAAAAACATTTGACCAACCCTTTCTATTTTGAAGGTTATGTTCTCTGGTTCAGAGTCTGTGTCAGGGGAGTACTTTGGACCAAAAGATTTATTCTTTTTATCTCACATGGAAATTTTTACCCAATTTTTTTTCTTGCTTATTTTTCAACAAATAATTCTTTCAATTTACTAATTTTTTACTGTAAGTCTGTAAATTAAATTAAATTCTTCAGTCTTATTTATTTTGGTAAAAATTTTTACCAAAATTGAAAAAATATTTTTAATAAAGTTTTTTTAAAATAAATTTTCGACTATTAATAATAATAATAATATTTAAAATTTTGCGCTTTATGTCCTTTTTTTAAAAAGTAAAAAAGTGAAATAATTCCAGTAATAAATTAACGAGTGGAAAATATTCATACAGATAAAATTTATTTTACGATTTTTTAAAAGCAATAAACCAAGAAAAAAAAATTCGCAATTTTCTTGCAAAAATGTCAAAAAAAGGGAAAAAGTGATAAAATTATTTTCAAAAGAAAGGAATAAAACTTGAAAAATACAACATTGAGAAATTTTAGTGTGCCAATTACATAATTAAAAAAAGAAACTAGTTTAATGAGAGAAAAAAAAACACTATACGACTCTATTATTTTATAATTGTGTACAGCACTGGATATTCGTGGCACTAGTCGGTGTGTATCTTGCACACATGTATTATGTCACAGATGAGCAAACACGTCGCAAACAGAAATGCAGGGACCGCATTAACAAGTGGCTGCTTCTCAATAGCCTCAACAACTCGAATCGTTTTAGTCGTAAAAACATTTTACCACAATGCACAACAAACTGTTTTAACACCCGATAAAGAATAAAGGTCATAATAGTGTAATTTTCATCGGGAGAAAAAAGGTGAGTGAGTGTTTTTGAATCTAAACTCGAGTATAATGATGAAACTTGTCAAACTATCACATTACACATTTAGCTATTTAATGTGATCCAAAAGCATGTATCACTCTCTGCTTTTTTATCAACTGTATATTTTTTAAAGATTTTCTTTTTAATTTATCCATTTCTTTAAACACGACAATTTTTTTATTTTTTTTTTTATTCAATTAATTTATTTTCCTACAGTAAAAAAAAATTAAACACAAAATTTTTATTGTCAAGCTGGTCGAAATGGATCCATCAGGTACATTTTTAGATTTTAGAACTATAGAGCATGCTATTTAAATAATATAGTGTGTCTTAAAATCAAATACACTTTGTGTAATATTCAAAATCATATTCGCCAGATATTTCTCCTTCTGACCGAGTAATAGTTTATCAAAAAATATATTGTAATTAATTCATCGAAATTATTATTCTTGGTTATACTCGAAAGAATTTGAATAAATTTAAAAAATTAGAATAGAGCTTGAAAAAATAGTTTCTAAAAATTCCCAACTTTCTGTATTTATTATTATTATCATCATCGTCAAGATTATCATTTTATTATCGTCATCATTAAATATTGACAGAAAAAAAAACTTATTTCAATTTGCTATAGAGTTGTCGATTCGGAAAAATATGCTACCATCTTAAGAGGAATCTTGCTCTGACCATAAGTTGCAAACTAAAGTTCTCAATTTCAAGGATAACCCAAAATTGTTTTTTTCTCCATGACCTAAAAATATCAAAACATTTAATTTCGAAAAATCGCAAAATGTTCGATTTTCAAAAACTAGAGATTTTATTTTTGAAAATCAAAAATTTAATTTTTACTTCTTTTTTTTTGAGAAATTAAATTAACATTTAGCATTCAAAAGGCAAAAATACGAAAAATGGAAACAGTAATCAAAAATATTTTTGACAAAGAAGGAGAAAAGTAGGCAAAATAATTATTACTTAGAAAATTTAAGAAGTAGAATGAGAATTGCTAGGATAATTAATTTTTGTAATTTAAAAAGAAAAAACTCCTTTTTTTATCGAATTTAATTTAATAATACCTTTTTTTCACAGATAGAAAAGAAACAATAATAAAAGTGAGAACGTGGTTACGAGGAATTTGGGAAATGCGACGTCGTACTGGCCCAGTGCAACAATGGGTCGATTCTATTCCTTCACCCACAACATCATCGCCTTCTAAATTAATCGAAGCAAAGGATATCAGTAACACTTCAACGCCATCGGTACTTTGTGTATTGTCAAAGGAATTAACTAAGCAAACAGAAGAATTAAAGCAAACAACCATGACAGCATCGACTCCAATAGCGGTTCCTAATTCACCAGCGACAACATTATCCGCACCATCCAAGTAAAAAAGAAATAAAATTATTTTTAAAAAATTTTTTTAAATTTTAAATAAATTTTCAATAAACTTCTTCGTAAAAATTCAATTATTTTCATAAATAATGAAATTTTTCGCTGAAATTTAATTATTTTCATAAATAATACACTTTTTTGCTGCAATTAAATTATTTTCCACAAACAATAGAATTTTTCGCTGAAATTAAAATTTTTTTCAATATCCATACTATTTTAATAAATAATAAAATTTTTCAAAAAGAATTCAATTATTTAAAAAAATGTTAAATAAACTTCTTCGCAAAAATTCAATTATTTGCATAAATACTAAATAGGGAAAAAAAATAAGAAAAAAAATTTAAAAATTTTTGAAAGAAATCAATATTTAAAATATTTTAATAAAACTCTCGAAATAAATCAATTATTTTATTCATTTAAAATTTTAGTAAATTTATTCAGAAGAACATTATTATATCAATAAATAATAAAATTCATCACGAGAATTCAATTATTTTGAATACAATTTTAATTAAATTCCTCGAATTCAATTATTTTTAATTCAATTATGTTTAAAAATTTTAATAAAATACTTGGAAAGAAATTTACTTATTTTCAAAAATTCTAATAAAATGTTTCACTAAAATTCAATGATTTTTAAAATTTATAATAAAAAGTTTTCGAGAAAAATTTATTTTAATAAAATTTAATTTGATAAGAATTCAACTTTAGAAATCTTCCGTAATTCTATGAATTATTTATTTTTGTATTTAAATAATTGAGACGATGAACAATAAATAATAATTAATAACAACAAAAGGGTAAAATAATAATAAAAAATTAAAAAACAGTAATGAAAAACTAATATTAAGATAATTAAAATTGTAATAATATCTAAATATTTAATAACAATTTTTAATAAAGAATAATATAAACGATAAAATGAAAATTTTCAGTCCATTCCCTCAACATCGATTGATACGCGATCCCAGTCTACAATCGGACAGCAGTCACTGCAGCAGTGTCGAAAGTTTTCTAGAGCAACGAAAAGCAGATCCAGAAGCTGTATTGTTAAATTTAGGATTCGGTGGCTATCCAAGTAGTCCCCAAGAAAATGGTCCACTCTCGAGAATACCAAAACGATTTCTACAACCATCAAAATTAAAAGGAATTGCAATCAACGATTTTATGAAGCAACAACAAGAAACAAATGAATCTCTCGACACTGCATCCCTTGGTTATCGAGGCCTAACAGGTGCGATTTCAAATTATCCGAAATTTTCCCATAAGATCATAAAAATATCGAAGAATTTTGTTTTTTTCAATATTCGATTTCCCTAAATTCAAATGTTCAAATGAGCGAAATTTATTTTTCTTTCAACTATTTTTTAAACTTTACTAAGAAATATTTTTATTACAAAAAATCGTCTAATAGACTGCAAAATAAAAATTTTTCAGTTTATTAGACGATTTATTTTAATAGCGAAAATAATTAACAGTAATCGAAAATTGCATTTTATTAGACGATTATTTTCTGTATTAAAAATTTAATTCTTAACAATCGTCTAATAAATAAATTTCTTATAAATTATTTTCGATATTAAAAAAAATTAATTCTTAACTATAGTTAAGAATTAATTTAATTATATTTAAAAAAAAACTTTTTTCGAAAATAAACGTCTAATAAAATCCAATGTTTCATTATTAATTAATAATTCTTAACTACAGTCAAGAATTAATTTCTTTAATATCGAAAATAATAAATAATAATCGAAAAATTCATTTTATTAGACGATTATTTTCGATATTAAAAATTTAATTCTCAACAATCGGCTAATAAATTATTTTCGATATTAAAAAAATTAATTCTTGACTATAGTTAAGAATTAATTTAATTACTTTTTAGTATTTTTTTTTAAAGATAAACGTCTAATAAAATGCAATTTTTGATTATTAATTAATAATTCTTAACTATAGTCAAGAATTAATTTTTGTAATATCAAAAATAATAAATAATAATCAAAAATTTCATTTTATTAGACGATTATTTTTCACATGAAAAAAATGTATTAGAAATTTATTTATCAAACAATTATTTTCGATATTAAAAAATTTAATTCTTAACAATCGTCTAAAAAATAAATTTCTAATAAATTAGTTTTCTTATTGAAAAAATTAATCCTTGACTATAGTTGAGAATCAATTAATAATAAAAAATTGCATTTTATTAGACGTTTATTATCAAAAATAAAATTTTTTAAAGTAATTAAATCAATTCTTAACTATAGTTAAGAATTAATTTTTTTAATATCAAAATTAATCGTTTAATAAAATGAAAAATTAAATGTAGTAATAAAAATATCATTCTTCATTTGAACGATAAAAACTTTTGGAACATAATATCCGCAAAGTTTGCAATAACCTATTGTACAAAAATTATCTTCCAAAAGAAAAAGAAAAATTAAAAAAAACGTATTTTACAATATTTTACTATTGTCATAAATGTTCTAAAAGAACAAAAAACGCTTTTTTTCAAAAATTACAACAGAAAGCGAAATAATCCTAATTTTATATAGGAAACGATGACAAAATAAGTGTGTCATCACACACTAGACGACGTCGACATTCAGGACCTATTAATTTTGTAAGTTTTGTAGAAATGAGTGTCGTGAAAGTATATATAAAATTTTTGTCTTATTTCTATATTAGAAAACTTTATATTTTCTTTTCCAAAAAGAAACATTTTTGTCAAATATTAGTACATCTTTTTTTTGCGCTTTATTGGCTTGTTTATATGCCAAGGCACGCGCAAGATAAGTTTCAATTTTTTTTCTGCTTTATTCACAGACACTTTTTTAAGTTAGGTAATTACTGTGTGAATATATACATTTGATGCAACACCAAAATTACACATTCAATGTTTTTGATCGAGAATTCTCGTTACGTTTATTTAGCACGTATTTAATTACTTATTTCCTCTCTTTTTCTTTCTTTTATTTCTCACGAAAGATGAACGAATATTATTTATTCTTTTCATGGTGATTTTTTTATCCTTTCAATTTATTTTGCAAAATAAAATAATTATTTTTTTAATTGTAAAGTTCCCGTTTCTAATTAATGATTGACAGTAATTTTTGAAAAAATATTTTTCTTTCATTTGAAAGTTCTAAATTTTCTGAAAACTTAAAAATTTTCTAGAAAAATATTTTTTTTTCTAAATCGTTAATTATAAACGTAATGAACTTCGGCAAAGTAATTATTCTCTAATTCACTTTTACAAATTATAATTATCATTTTTTTAAAAATAAGACAGTAAAAAGAAAATCAAATTTTCCAACTTTCGAGAAAAATTCGAGACGTATTCTAAAATGCGATTTTCTTTTTACAATTATTTTTAATGTTATTTTGCTTGCAAAATATTCTTTTACTAAGTGGGCATGCTATTTTTATCAATGTTTCAGTAGGTATAGTAATTTTGGAAATTTCCGTAATAATGCAATTAAATTTTGAATACTTCAAACAGAACAGGAGTAGAATGTAAAATATAAAAATATAAAAAATAAAAAAATAAAAAAATAACTGAAATTATACTATAAACCAAATGGGAAAATTTCCATATTTTCCAAATAATGCAAATATTTCTTTTTCAAGGTTCACCATATGTAGCTCCTTCGGAAATAGTCCAAAAAATTATGGAACGATTACGAGAGCACGAAAGTCAAGAAATTGAAACACATTCCTACAATGTCGGTATTGAACAAAATATACAAGAAGGAAGACTTTCTGTTTTATCTCCAGATAACAGACAATTTTTGGATCAGCCGCGTGCGAAAAGTCCCGATATGCGCAACAAACGGATGATTATAGGTTCGTTATTGCATTTATCTTTTTTCGATTCAATTCAAATTAAATTCAATTCAATTCAATTCAATTCCCTTGCTTTTCAGATAAAATTTTACCTTTTTCCCTGACTCTAATAAAATATTCTGATTCACTCTAACAATGATTAAATACTCAAAAAAATTCTCTAATACAAATTTAGTAATTTCTTTAATTGTAAAATTATTCGAAAACATCAATAACTTCTTCTCTAAATAAATATTTAATCATTATTATTTTTCCATTGGAACTAAGATGTTCAAAAATTTTTAATTTAAACTTTTTTGAAATTCAAAAACTGCGGGAATTATTATAAAACATGAAGAAATCAATCACTCCGAGTCTTCGACTCAGAGTAATAGCTTTCTTCATGTTTTATAATAATTAAAAATGACCGTATGATAAAATCATTATTTTATATTATAAAAGAATATTTTTACTTTAACTTTGTCAAAATTATTTCCATCATTTCAATTCATTTCAATTTTCTAGAATTTGTAACTACAATTCTTCTTTAATTCAATTATTTTTGATAATTATTGAAAAAGTTCTTTTTTCAAATCCATTTGTTTGTAAGCTTCAATTGTACAAAATTCCAATTATTCGTACATAAATTCTTCAATTTTAATTCAATTTTAATAAAAATTCTTTTCCAAAATTCAATTACTTTCATAAATATCAATATTCAACACAAGAATTTAATTCTTTAGAAAAATAATAAAATATTTTGAAGAAATTAAACTATTTTCAAAATTTTTTAAAAATTCTCGTCAAGAATCAAATTATTTTTATAAATAGATAGCGAAATTCTTCTTAAGAATTAAATTATTGTCAACAATTTTTAATAAAATTCTTGGCAAAATTTCAGTTATTTAAACAAAATTTAATAAAATTCTTCATATGAACCCAATTATTTATATAAATTATTATTTAAATTCTTCTCAGTAATTCAATCATTTTTAAAAATTTTAATAAAATTATTCAAAAAGTTCTAAAATCGAATATTCTTATCAAATTCAATGTTATCAAAATAAATTTTTTTCGAAAACTATTTATTAAAAATTTTAAAAATCATTGAATTTCAGTGAAACATTTAGTTAAATTTCTTTTAAAAAATTAAATATTTCCAAAAGTTGTTAATAAAATTCTTCGTAAAAATGAAATTTCAAGTTTTTATTTTCTAATATATAAAAAAAATTTTTTATTAATTAAAATCTTACTAAAATTTATTATATAAAAGAATTTTATAACAATTTTTGAAAATAATTGAAAACTTTTTGAAGAATTTTATTAAAATTTTTAAAAAATAATTAATTTCCTGAGAAGAATGTAAATAAATGAACTCATGCGAAGAATTTTATTAAATTTTGTTTAAATAACTGAAATTTTGCCAAGAATTTGATTAAAATTTTTGACAATAATTAAATACTTCGGAAGAATGTCGCTGTTTATGTATTTATAAAAATAATTTGATTCTTGTCGAGTACTTTAAAAAAAATTTGAAAATAGTTTAATTTCTTCAAAGTATTTTATTATTTTTCTAAAGAATTGAATTCTTGTAATGAATATTGATATTTATCAAAGTAATTGAATTTTGCAACGAATTTTATTAAAATACCTTAAAATAATTGAATTTTCGGGAATAATTTTGTTATTTATCAAGATAATTGAATTCTTTGGCAGAATTACTTAAAATTTTTTGAAAATAATTGATTGTCTGCGACGAATTAAAAGTTATTTATGAAAATAATTGGATTTTGGAAAAAATTTTTATTAGAATTTCTTAAAATAATTGATTTTATGGGAAAAAATTTGTTGTTTATCAAGATAATTGAATTCTTTTGCAGAATTACTTTAAAAATTTTTGAAAATAATTGATTTTCTACGACGAATTAAAAGTTATTCATGAAAATAATTGGATTTTGGAAAAAATTTTTATTAAAATTCCTTAAAATACTTGATTTTATGGGAAAAATTTTGTAGTTTATCAAGATAATTGAATTCTTTTGCAGAATTACGTAGAAAAATTTTGAAAATAATTGATTTTCTGCGACGAATTAAAAGTTATTTATTAAAATAATTGAATTATTGCAAATAATTTTATTATTTTATTGAATAATTAAATGTTTCTTAAAATTAAATTTTTTCGTCAAATTTTAATAAAGTTTTGAAAATTAATTGCATTTTATGAAAATTTCAAAATTTTTTTTTATTAATTAAATCTTTTGATAAATTTTATGAAAAATAGTAAATATTGAAAATTATTGAATCGCGAAAAACTTTTAAAAATAATTGGATTTTGCAAAGAATTTTATTTAAATTCCTAAAAATAATTGAATTTCTGTGAAAATTTTGTTATTTATTGAGATAATTGCGTTAAAACTTTCGAAATAATTAAATAATACTTACAAAAAAGAAAAAAAAAGAAAACAAAAAAAGAAATAATTTTCCCATTTCTTTCTGTTACCACAGGACAAAGATCATTCGCCTTCGGCTGTGATGGAGACTTAATAGAAATCGACTCAAAACCATCAAAAATCAACTCCTCAAATCCCGCAGATGTGATAAAATCAGACGATCCAAAAAATCAACTAGACAATCAAAATATCAATAAAATAATAAAACCCCAAAATAGACGATATTCTCTCAACGACAATTCCCACCATCAAGCATCCAGTTCGGATATAAATCTCGACGACAAAAATATTTTCAATGCAAAAAAACTATTTACAACCGAGCACAAGGAATTGAAAACCGAAAACAAAAAGCAACAATCAATTATCGATGACAATCATAATTTACCAAACGTTTCACGACAATTAAGCGAATGTCTACCGGAATTCCAAAACAGATCAATGACCTTCGAAGAGGGTAGAAGGTCCAGTGGTGGTACGACATTTTCCGATGGCAGTGGCGACACAGTAATACCAAATCGAAAACGAAGTCTAAAGCGACAGGCGAAAATACGCGACGAATTCGAATCATTCGACTCGAATGCAACAATTGAAAACGACGAATATCCCGATTCTGTAGATTTAAATACAGAAGCAATCGTGAAAAGTCGCCAAAATCCGTTGCAATTGGTAACGAATATAAGAGATCGAGTGTGTGAAAAAGTTTCCGAAATGGAGGAAACTCTAAATATGGATTTAGAAGATGTTTGCGAATCCGAAAGTGATACTAATTCGAGAGCATCCGATGATGATAATAATTATGTGGAAGATGATAATGATAAAGATGGCAATGATAACGATAATGATAATGATGATAATAATACAAAAAAATGCGAGGAAGCAACCGGTGATAGTCAATGTTGCTCGGAAAATCATCAACTCTGCTGTCAAAGTGATAAACTCGGTCAAATTTGCAAGCACGACGCGAATCACACCGGTTGTTGTTATCACGAGAGTAGCGAAAGATGTTGGCGAAAAATGGAGAAAATAATGGAGAAAAATAAGAAACTCGAAAAAATGGTTGTCAAAAGTAAACGAGGAATTGTTGAGATTCGAGAAATGTTAAGTAGTGTCCTTTCGGTTAGAATGGAACCTGGTTTTTAAATTTATCTCTTTATTGAGATGCTGCGCTGAAGGAAAAATCTATTCGATTCAAATAGATTAGTTAATTATTAGATTAATTAGATTTGCTTATTATCAGACAAATATTTACTCGAATCAAATAATTTTGATTTCAATCGATTAAACAGTACTAAAATCATTAGATGAAGCTGAAGATCGCGACGTTTTGAAAAACATGAGGCGAACTACAAAAAAAATAAATTTTTAAGCCAATAACTTTGGTTTCAAAATTTATTTTTTTTTTTTGTTTCCTAAAAACTAAATAATTTCTTCAAAATTTGTTGAACGAAAATTGACAATAAATTAATTAGAAGACAATTTCTAAAATTTTTGTTTTTAAAAAACGTTGCATACTATGGTTCTTATCCTAAAAATTGTTTTATTATTTTCGATATCGTGACAAAAATATTTGTCGACTCTCAGCGTCGATGCCAAATTCAAGGACGTGATTTCAATTAAATTATTTAATTAAAATTGTTTAATAGAAATTATTTGAATCAAGTAAATACTAATTTTGATAATACTAACCGGTTATTTGAATCAAATAAATTTTCGCCTACTCAGTGTGATAATTTGCATTTGGTCACAGGGTATTTAGAAAACCTTAATAAGAAAATTTCACTCATAAATCAAAGATATATTACCTCGTTGATTATTTTTAAATTTATCTACAGATAACAACATTTTTCAAAAAAATGTTATAAATAATATTAATATAACATTTTTTAAAAAAATGTTACAGTTACATTATATTGATATAACATTTAAATATTATTTTCCCATGTAATGGGAAAGTAAAAAAATGTTATAATTATATTTTATTAATCACACCCTAGGTGAACTATGGTCAAGCACAGTAAACATATTTATGACGCTTAAAAAAAGTGTGTACGGTCCATTTTTATAATAAGTAAATAATTAAGTTATAAGTTTATTATTAGAAGAGTTATTGAAAGTTTATAAAAGTTGAGGGAAAATTTAAAGAAAGTTATAGAATTGAAAAATTTTAAAAGTTTAATTAAAAATGTTAAGTTTTTAAAAAGAGGAATTAAAAATTTACAGCACGGGGAAAAATGGATTTTACAAAATTATATTGTAATCTAGATTTTAACATTTAATATAACAATATAATATTGTTAATAATTTTTGTATAGAAATTTTTTAAATTTTCATCGAACCTAATACAATTTGTTATTAAAAAATTATTATTTCCGGAGCATCTACTACTACCGAAGTAAATTTTTCTAATTTTTGTCAAGAAATTTTCTTCGGAAATAATATAAAAGATATTCTGTAAATAATTACCAACTTCCAGAAATTATTTTTAATTTTTAGAAAATTAATTCTAAATTTTGCTATTTATATTGTTAATACATTGTTACAATTGTTCCTTATATGTATATTCTCTATAATCTAGATTACAGCCAGTAAAATTCTTTTTTTCCCGTAAATAATTAATTATTCGCGAATAATTAATTATTAACTCAGATTATGTTGATAATAAACTTAAAAGTAGATTAATTGTTATTAAGCGAAAGTATATTATATAATAATTATATTTTAATTAATTTTAATATTTTTTAAACGAGAATTTTAAATTCTCACAAAAGGGAACAGAATTAAAGAAAAATTGCATTTTAGTAAAAAATACTAAAGTCATTGCACATATTCTCGACCCATTTCTAAGGGACCACACCCGTCAATTACTTCTGTAATAAATCTCATCCTATTTATTGCATACCTATACTTAAAAATTGTTAATCAATTTAAAAAAAATATTCAAAAATTTTCGACACAATTTTCCAATACACAATTATTAATATAAAAACAATTTTCCGAATTTTCTTTGTAAAATAGATATAAAGATCAAAAAAAATTTTCGTCCTTTATAAAAAAAGATACAAAAAGGATTTTTATTCTCTACAAAAAGGATTTTTTATCCTCTATAAAAAGGATTTCTATCCTTAACAAAAAAGGAGGGATTTTTGTCCTTCATAAAAAGATGGATTAAAAATGAAAAAATCCATTTAAAATTAAATTCACTTTGAGAAAAAAATTTTTTTAATTGATTTCAAGATTAAACGTTCTGTGAAAGTTTAAACAAGGAGCTTGTTATTTTTAGTCTGTATTTTTCTTTCATGCAACAATTAGACTGCTGATGGCTTCCACTAATAGTTAACACCAGATAAATCCTCTCGAGCCTAAATATATATATATATAAATATTATTCCTTGTCAAATAAAAAACGAGACAATTTTTGTTCTAATGGATAGGCGTTGAATGTAAATTATTTTAAGTTGAATTTACGTTGAATCGAAAATTGTAAATTACATTTCGAAAATGTAGAAAACTTCTTATGTACAGAACATTCCGTTTGCCATTTGGCTACTAACTACATTTTCGACCTCCAATAACAGTAAATTTGCTACTGTCTTCTTTTTTTTCTTTAGATAAATTGCCAATTATTCCAATTACTAAAACATTTTTCTGCATTTATCACGGCTGCTTAAACCCCAGTGACACTATTGAGGTTTGATCTTTTGGAACCAAGTTCAAGTCCACAGCGTTGATCTACGAAAAAAATTGTCCAAGTGTAATACTCAATAAACATAAAATTTGCCACAAAAATATAAAAAAATACAAAAACTCCTCATGAGGAAAAAGAAAGATTTTTATTTTTCAAACAATAATTGTTGTATCAACAAAATCAAATATTATCAAAAAATAATATTCGAACACTGAAAACAATTTTTTTTCGTCGATCAACATCGAGGACTTCAACTTCGTGTTGTGGATACATATATAAACTAAAAGTTTTGGTGTTTCTACCTCGTGAATAGTCGAGGTAAATTTACCAACGAGACAGACATTTTTATACGTCTAGAAATTTAATTTTATATGTTATATTTAGAATAAGCGTTTAAAACCAGTTTCGTCAGCTCTAAAAAAAAAATTACTGTGATTTCTAAACCAGCTGTAATACACAACTTAGGGAACAATAGTTTATATCAAATTATATTGTATATTATTACAGTCGAACCTGGATAAGTGGTCCCTTGATAAGTGGGAATCCTCTTTAAGTGGAACTTTCTTTGCAGTCCCTGCACAAGTAATTTGACCTTAACTGACCTGGATAAGTGGAATACCTCTATAAGTGGAACAAGAACTTTGGTCCACTTATCCAGGTCAGTTAAGGTCAAATTACTTGTGCAGGGACTGCAAAGAAAGTTCCACTTAAAGAGGATTCCCACTTATCAAGGGACCACTTATCCAGGTTCGACTGTACTTATATTTGAAATATAAGTCCAAAATTTCTGCTCATATCACGTTTTTTATTTCGCCTTGTCCACAAAAATGTTTGTTCTTATTTCCACAAAATTGTTTTAAAACAATTTCATTCAAATTTTTGAGAAATCAATTATTTTCCAAATTTGCACTTAAAATTCTCCAAAAGTTGATTTTCGAAAATTCTAATAAAATACTTGAAAAAAATCATTTAATTTCAATCAAATTTTACTAAATTTCAATTATTCAAATTTTTTTAATTGTATGTTTCGAAAATTTAATTAGAAAAATTATTCAAAAGGAATTTTGTGAAAGATTTGCCTATAGTTATTTTTCACACTATAATTTTTTGAAAATAGTAAAAAAAAGTCATAATATCCGAGGTCTGTACTTTTCTATATTTCTATGATGAAATAAAAAAATGAAATTCATAAAACACTGAAAAAATCATTTTCCTTCAAAAAAATAACACACAGAAAGAACAACATTCGATTCATTTTCATAATTTAGATTATTATTAATGTAAATCAATGCGAATCATATAATTACAAAACTTTGCTAAGTTTCGAATAATACATAATGTTTACGTTACAAATTAACTTTTTTTGCGGATTTGCTTTCTAATAACAAATCATGACACAAATTATGTAAATGCTTATTATACCTTTTTGTCTGCTTTTACTGAACATTAAAAAAAAAAAGTTTAGTTAGATACAAAGCACAATACATTAAAAATAGAACTGAGCAATATGCTACATTAAGTTAACGAGTCCATAATGTACAAAGAAATTAAAAATTCGCAGAACACTGTGGTATTTCTTCTTCTTTTTTTTCAGATACACATAGAACAGACACTCGTTTACATAACTTTAATTTAAGTGTATATATGTGTGTATTTTTCTTTTAATTTGTAAAGAAAACAAAAAAATATGTTTTGAGCTCAAAAACTATCAGTCATACAATTTCGTCCAGTCGTTAGCACATAATTTGATCATTCTTTACTTCACAATTAAATTTTTTCTTCTTCTTTTTTTATTTTCTTTTTGAAAATACCACTTTGTCCACTGCGTGGATGTGTCCATATATTTGAAAAATGTCTTATTGTACCTTAACTCATATAAACAGACAAGAACGCATTCGAGCTATACTTAATCCTCCTTCTCTTCTCTGAAAAAAGAAAAATATTTTTTATTCAAATTTTTCTTTTTTTGGTTTAATTTTATAACAGAAAAAGGCGTTAATGAAGTTCAGAATATTTTCGATCAAAGATTAAAAGAAAAAAAATATTCTTCACAAGGCAAGTAAAAAAATTTTTCGTTTTTCAATTTAATTTCAAATTACTGATCAAGAAAGTATGTAAAACATTTTTAAAAGATTTATAAAAAATATTAATGGAAAAACTATTTTTTCTTCTTAATTCTTGATTATTTTGTGAACTTCACTAACGCCTGGAGAAGAAATTGATCCACAACGTTGATCAACGAAAAAAAAGTTTTAATAAGTTTATTATTCAAAAATAACGCAACAATATTGCCACTATTATTAAAAAACTAGATTTTTATTCATGTTTCAATATTGTTGTATTTTTAAATTATTTTTTAACTGCATCTTAAAATTAATATTCGAATATTATCAATTCTTTTTCACTCATCAACATTATGGATTTCAATTTTATGGAAAAGAAACTATTTTCTTTTAAAATGAAAAAAAGGGGGTAAATAAAACTTCGCTTTTTCGAGTAACTCACTTGACTACTTCTTGCTGCTGTGTATCGAGATGTAGTTCTACAATTGTTTCGGACCTATTTTGCACCTTGAAGGTAACTTGTGCAGCAAGATATTTATCCTTGTTGTTTACAGACCATCCAGAATACTAAAAAGAAAATACCCGTTAAACATGAAAATTTACAGCAAAAAATAACAAAAAAGGACAGAAATTAATACTAAATTACGAATATGAAATTAATACTAAAACTATTAATAGGAAATTAATACAAAAACTATAAAAAATCATTATCACTCACGGTCGATGTGCTTTTATACAATGTCTTTCCATCATCTTTGAAGGGTAAATACTTTTGAAGAAGTGCTTTTCCGTCTATCCTCCACAAGGTGGGATCTGTGTTTTGGCCGATATCTGTTTTTGCGACGACAAAAGCCCCAGACTAAAATTTAAATTATTTAATTAATTATACAAAAATTTGAAAATTTCTACTCGAAGTAAATATAATTAAATAGAGGCTTTAACTCCATTATTTTTGATAATTTTCATTAGATTCTTTGCCAATTGAATTAATTCGAAAAAGTGAAAGAAAGTTGAAAATTTTTTACTAGTAACTCTTTTAAAATTCAATTATTTTCCAGAATATAATTTCTCTGTCAAAATAATTGTCACACAGAGAAATTAATTTTTATTCATACTTACAGTGTAATCTTTGGGTGGAAATCCTGTTGTGTTCTCAAAACCATTGTCATCTGAATCTTCCTCCTCCTCTTCCTCTTTCTTAGAACGTCTCTTCTTTTTTGGTTTTTGTTCTGGATCGGAATCAGACTCATCCTCTTCATCGTCTTCCTCCTCCTCGTCATCTTCCTCCTCTTCCTCTTCTTCATCTTCATTATGTTGTCGTTTTTTTGCACCCCTCTGAGGTCGTTTCTTAGTAGCACCCTAAAATTAATTTGAAAAATAAATAACAATTCTTATTATTAAACCAAAAAATTTTTCGAATAAAAACAAAAAAATTAAAATCAAATAAGTATTTTGTTATTTTAATAAGTAATAAATTAAATTTTTACCACAGAAAAGTTTTAGAATAAAAGGAGTAAAAAATAAAAAACAAATTAATATTAACTATTTTGTTGTTATTTCAATAAGTAATAAATTTTCTTCTTACCACACAAAAGTTTTAGAATAAAAATAGAAAAATACAAAAGAAAATTAATATTAAAAATACATAAGTAAGAATCTTTATTTTAACCACACACAAAATTTCAGAATAAAAATAGAAAAAAAAATAAAAAACAAATAAACTTTAAAAATAAAAAACAATCTTTATTTTTCCACACAAAAATATCAGAATAGAAATAAAAAATATAAAAAACAAATTAATATTATAAATGAGCAACAATCTTTATTTTTTCCACACGAAAATTTTAGTATAAAAATAGAAAAAAATAAAAAAGACTTTTACAAAAGAGAAAAATAAAATTTACATAAATAAATAAATAATATTTCCTACCAATTATTCAGAATTTGCTCAATGAACTTGTGAAATTTTTTTCTCAAAAACGTTTCTTAAAAATTCTGTTCAAATTCACTTGATCACTTAAAAATTCAACACTTCTTCTCTTCTTCAGTGTCAGTTTCTCAAAAATATTTTATCACAAAACAAATTCAGGTAAAAGACTAAAAACACAATGTTTTTTCAATAATGACCTTGAGTGATAAATTTAAAAAAAAAACCATTTCATGCAATAGTGCTGAATTTTAATACACCATCTACAAAATTAGATGAACAGAATAGAAAGTTTTTCTGTAATCAATTTAAATGATAAAGAAACTTCTATTGATTAATGACGCACTCTCGTCTTACTTGCCTCAAAGCAAAGCAAAATCAATAAACAAACAGCAAAAATAAAAACAAATTTCATCAAAATGAACTTGCAGATAAAATAATAATTATTCAATTTGCAAAATCCAACAAGAATTAAATCATGAAGGACGCTACTTTGTCAAGCAAAGATAGATGACAAAATTAGTTTGAAATAATGAATAAAGCCGGCGCCATTGGCCGGCCGGCAATGAAAGCTCGTGAATGCCACAATTCATAAAGCTAAAGAACAAAAGCTCTCAAATATGACATTATCACTCACTACCCAAAGTTCATAAATTAAACTCAATAAATAAATTTCATCCAAAAAAAAACACAAATATTTTGTCTGTAAAAATAAAACTAATATCTCCAAGAAAAACAAGAAGCGTGGTACACAAGCATTGGGCGGAAGTCAAGTATATAAAACTTGCTCAACTTTTCTCAGTGAATAACTCATCATAATAATCGATTTAATGAGAATCAATGCCAAACGTACAATGTTTATAAAACAAAATCAACACCCTCTCTTATCTCTTTAAACTCTAATTTATCCTAACAATAAAAAAAAATTGCCAAAATTCATTGTTGCAAAATACTTGTTGAAAGTTTATTCTCGAAATCACAAGTTATTTTTTTTATGGATTTTCGATCGCGACCTATGTTTGAATATCGGTTCGAAATAATGTCTCGTGAATGAGAGAAAAATGGAATATTTTTAGCGGAGTCGAGTAAATTTATTAATTAAAACATGGATCGATGAATAAAGCGATAGAGAAGTATTAAAATTAAGTGGCGTGGGGCTCTTACTTCTGCTCCTGCCTCCTGTGCCCAATCTTCCTCTGAACCTCCACCTTCGACTTCTTCAGGATCGTCCGCAGAATATTCGTCCTCTTCCGACACGTCCTTTGTTTTCTTCATATTGCGCGGAATTTTTGTAGTTTTCCCAACTGGGGCACACGAAACAAACAAAATACAAAGTGCGATGCACGATATCACACAAACGACTTTTCAAACAATATGGCGTCGTCCGGCGCGAGAAATGCAACAACCGCGTCACGAGTACGCATGTCGTTTGCGCATCTCGGAAGTGACACATTACGGCGCGAATTTTTCAAATTCTTTTCCGACAAAAAAGACAAAAATAAAAAATAAAAATATAAAAACTACAAAAAATTATTCAAAACATAGAAATATGGGAATAATGCATTAATTCAGAAACTTTTATTCATTTAGAAAAATAATTATACTTTTCGAAAAAAAAATAAATCAGGGTTGTCAGAGAGGGGAGGGGGTAATTAATACTAATTATCACTAATTACGTTGGAAGTATAATTAGTCCTAATTAATTACTTTCTAAAAAAATATATAAATTATAAATATTCGACTTATTGTAATGAATAAATTTGCAACAACTTGAATTATTAACAATCTAAACAAATTTATTAAAAAATACTCATTGAATTAATTTTTAACGATAAAATAAATATTAAACGATATAATATTTAAAAAAAATTCAACACTTTCAAAATAGCAAAATAAATAAATAAATAACTAATTAACTGCAAATTAAATTCCCCAAAGTTTGAAATATTTTACGGTTTTGGGTCGATAAGGGGTTGGCGCAAGCGCCTCTATTGATTCAGAAGATGAGTCTGGCACACCTTGTTGTAAGAGAAATACGTTGTTAATTTCAGAATTACAAAAAATAAAAAAATATATTATGTTTGACTTGTATGGGGTCGGTAGGGATGGGACAGTTTATCATTCAGGACCACCAAGACGAAATGAAGTCGACATCCTAGAGGTATTGTTTGGTGAATAAAAATTCTATAATCAACAGTTTATTTATATATATTTGAAAAATTTCTTTCTATCGGCCACTGATTATAAAAAACAAAATCAACCGCAAAAAAATTTTTTTTTCAAATTTTAATAAAAATTATTTGTTTTTAATTATGGAAGAAAACAATATTCCATGTAATAATAATTGGAAATAAAATTTTACTGAAAAAAATGTCAAATTCGAATAAAGTTTAATTTTAGAAGTAAATTTTAAAAAATGAATTTTAAAACTATATTTAAAAAATAAAATTTTACTACTAAATTTTAAAAATTACAATTTTAAAATTAAATTATAAAATTAAAGTTTAAAAATAAAATTAACAAATTATATTGTAATTTGTATTCAAATAATAAATTGTATCAAAAATGAAAATTCCAACTAGATATAAATTTGTGGTCATTTTTTGATACGTTTGCTTATTTTCAATTAGAATAAAAAATTCATTTATCTCTAAAACTGCCTCTAAACTGCACTGGAGAAAAATTATGTATTTAAAATAATTACTTGAGTATCAAAAAATAAATATTTACTTGAAATAACAAATTTATTATTTAAATAAAAAAAAACTGTATATTTGAACCAACAATTTCTGTATTTAATTTAATAATTGTATCAAATAATAAATAAATTTTTATTAAAAAGAATTACAAATTTATTTGATAATTATCAGAAAATAAATTATTAAATAAAAAAATTAATTTTTTAACTTGAAATTTCGAAATTTAGAACAAAAATGAGATATTTAAAAATAAAAAAATAATATAAAATTTTTCGTTCTTATTCCTCAGAAATGTTCAACGAATAAATATTAAAATTTGAAATTATTTTTGAAAAACAAAATTTGAACTATTTATATAAATAAACAAAACTCAACTTAATCAAATGTAAATTTGAGGCTATTTATAAATAAACTAAATTGGAATTATTTTTAAATAATCAAACTTGAAATTATTTTAAAAAAATTAAAATTATTTATAAATAAACAAAATAGAAATTATTTATATAAGTAAACGAAATTGAAATTATTTATAAATAATCAAAATTGTAATTGTTTATAAATAAGTAAACTAAATTTAAACTTCTCTATATAAATAAACTAAATTGAAATTATTTATGGGTGAGTTCACTGACTTTCCTCTGACAGTCGTTGCGACCATATTTTCAAAAAATTTCATATTAAATATCAGGTGTTGGTACTCACCACAAATATAAAACATTCCATTCTGCACGTACTAATATGATAAAGATAAAATAAATTTTTTTTATTATTTGTGGACGAAAAGTGATTTTAAAAATTAAAAAAAAAAAATTCCACATTTTTTATCACTTATAACTTTTTTGTCGGACCTCTAAAAAATGTGTGGTTTTGCAAATATTTTTCAAACAACGTTATTTATCTTCTATTGAAATTTGACGAAGGTGTTTTTCTTCGTTTTCGAGATAATATATAAAAAATTTATTTAATAAATTTATTTATTTATTCAATTTTTTTTATAAATAATCAAAATTGAATTTATGTAAAAAAAAATTGAAATTATTTATGAATAAAAAAAAGTGAAATTTTTTATAAATAAATTAAATGAAATAAATAATTCTATTACTAATTTAAAATAATATTTAATTTCAGACGTGTTTACAACATTCTTCAGAAGAACTATTGAGGAAATTACCCAACGGAGACGCTCTGCATCATCATGTAAAAGACACAGTGATCTCAACCACTTTAGAAAAAAATAAAGTTGCACCTCGAGAAAAAAGTAACTATAAATATTTTACTAATAAAAAGTAAATACCTATTTCAATAATTAATAATTTATCTTATTTTAATTTTTGCGATCCATTTTTAATTTTTTTTATTAATTTACTTCAAATTAAATATTTATTACTATTTTTTAAGCATAATAAATAGTCCGGTAATTACTGTTATCATTTTTTGTTTTTTGTTTCAGGACGAAGTGTGGGGCGAAAATGTGCAATGACTTTTGGTGCATTTTTACTGGGCTGTGCATTAATTGCAGGAGTTGGATTACCATTAGCCTTAGAATTAAGTAGCTCACATTTACTAGAAGCAAGACTTCAAGTCGTCAGGAGGATTTTATCAGAAATTCCTCTCATCGACGGGTTAGTATAAAAAACAAATATATATTAAAAAAATAAAATAAATAAACAATAATTAAATACCTACAACAAAAAAGATACAACACTAAAAGCATGTTTTTAGTGTTGTATCTTTTTTGTAAAAAAAGTTCAATACCAAAAAAAAATTACAATATATAATAATAAAAACAAAAAAAAATTATATCAATATTTTTCTCCTCTCTGAATCAAAATTAGCAATTTTCTACTAAAGAATTAAATTTGAATAAGGTTGCCACAAAAATTTAATTTCAATATAACTTCATTTTCAAATAAATTTTTAATCACTATTATTTTTCCATGGGAACTAAGATTTTAAAAATTTCTAATTCAAGCCTTTTAAAATTCAATACCTTATAATAATTAAAGGTGACCGAGTGATAACATTATTATTTTATATTATAATATAAGAATATTGTTTCTGAAACTTCTTTAAAATTATTTTCATAATTTAAATTCAATTATTATTTTCTAGAATTTTTAACAAAAATTCTTCTTTAAATCAATTACTTTTAATAATCATAAAAAAATTTTTAAAAGAACTTTCAAATCCATTGGTTTACAATTCAATTTTACGAAATTTCGATTATTCGGAAATTTTTTAATTAAATATAAGTAGGAAAATAAAAACTTGAAATAATTTTTAAAAAATTCGATTATGTTTCTTGAAAAAAATTAGTTCCATAGAATTTTTAATTAAAAGTATAAAAAATTAAAATTTTCAAAGATGTTTATTTGAAATTTTTACAAAATTAAAATATTTCTAAAAATTTCAATTATTACTGACTTCTCAAAAATTCAATTATTATCTAAAACTTTAAGTGAAATTAATTTTTCAATCAATTTTAATTAGAAAATTCTACAAAAATTCAATTATTTAAATTCAAACATAAATTTTACTGAATTTTTGAATTTTCAACAAATTTTTAAATAATTGAATTCTTTCGACGAATTTTAATAACATTTTTAAGAATAATTAAATTTTTCGAGAAATTCTATTAAAATTGCATTAAAAATTATTGAAATTCTGCAAAGATATTGAAAATTATTGAATTGAGAAAAAATTTTGAAAATAATTGAAATTTTGCCAAGAATTTTATTAAATTCTTTAACAATAATTGAATTCTATCACTTTTGAAAATAATTGAATTCATGTGAATTAATTAAATAATTGAAATATTGACGACAATTTTATTTAGATTTTTTGAAAATAATTGAATTTTTGCGAAGAATTTTATAAATTTCGAAAATAATTGAATTTTTGCGATGAATATTGTTATTTATGAAAATAATTGAATTTTACATTGAATTTCATAAAAATTTCTGAATATAATTGAATTTTGAAAAAGAATTTTGCTATTTAGAAAAAAGATAATTGAAATGTTGACGAGAATGTTTTTTTTTAAATTTTTACGAAAATAATTGAAAATTTGCCATGAATTTTATTAAAATTAAATAATAGACTAATAATAATTGAATTCTTGCGAATTAATTAAATAATTGAAATATTGATGACAACTTTTTTTTACATTTTTGCGAAAATAATTGAATTTTTGCAATGAATATTGTTATTTTTGAAAATAATTGAATTTTTGCGAAGAATTTTGTAAATTTCGAAAATAATTGAATTTTGTCGATGAATATTATTATTTTCGAAAATAATTTAATTTCACAATGAATTTTATAAAAATTCCTGAATATAATTGAATTTCTACGAAGAATTTTGCTATTTAGATTTAGAAAGATAATTGAAATGTTGACGAGAATGTTTTTTAAAATTTTTGAAAATCATTGAATTTCTGAAAAGAATTTTAATATTTATTATTTTTTTGAAGTTATCACTTGGTCACTATTTTAATTATAATATTTATTAAAATAATTGAATTCTTTTAAAGAATTGCGTTGAAATTTTTAAAATTGAAACTAATTTCAACAGAATTGAAATTAAAATTTTTCAAAAAAATACTTCACTAAATGTTTTATAAATAATAATTTTATGTCAGTTCTTCAATAGAATTAAGTTATTTAAAATAAATTATTGTCAAAAATAGAAAAAATTAAGGTTTTTTTAGAATTTGAGGTAGTTTCATAGTTTATGAGGCAAACAAAGTCACAAAAATTCAGAATTTTTTTATAAATTCTAAACATTTAATTTTTTCCAGTACTTTTAATAATAATCCCAGACTTTTCCCTGACCTGTGGCAACCCTGTTAAATTTAACAAATTGAAGCAATTACTAATAATAATTTTAATTATTCCGACATATATCTTGAAAGTGAATTAAACTAAAAATTAGTCATTATAACTATTAATTAAGAAACAAAAAAAGGGTAAAGTTTAAGGTACAAATTTTTTTCCTCATCATAACTAAAAACTCGTAAGTTTCTCTATAAAAAAAAGGAAGAAAAGGGGAGAATATGCTTAATTTTAAATGTTTTAGAGGATTATTAATTGAATGTGATAAAGTAGAGGAAAAAAGGGGTTGCCTAATTCAAATTTAAAATTTAGAGAGTTAATTAGGAGAAAACTACTGATTCAGATGAGTGATTAAATAATTTAGAGAGTTATAAATTTCCAGTCACAACGATTTCGCGTGGAAACTGCGAAAATATCAGGGAAGTGTGAGAAACATTCCTTTCCAGGATGATCTGTCTCAAAATATCACTTGGGGACCGCAATGGCAAACTGACCTAGTTCGCCTTCACCAAGGCATCGTTGGTGCACAATTTTGGTCGGCCTACGTACCATGCGAGGCACAATTTTTAGACGCAGTGCAATTAACATTAGAGCAAATAGACGTTGTTCGTAGACTCGCCTCAAAATATCCAAGAAGGATGAGGTTGGTGACCTCGAGCGATGAACTAAAAAGGGCACACAAGGATGGCGTTATTGCCAGTTTAGTTGGCATTGAAGGTGGTCACAGTATAGGATCATCAATGGCTGTTTTGAGAAGTTTTCACTTACTTGGCGCCCGCTACATGACGCTAACTCACAAATGCAACACACCATGGTGCGTCTTTTTCACTCTAAACCCAAAAAAAAATCTGTTCCTAAAAGCTACTCAAGCTATCAAAGAAAACCTTAATTCTTTCAATCACTTCTTTCAAAAATTATTTCTAACCTGTTGAAACTTTTCGCATAGTACAATTTGAACTCAAAGCAAAAAACAATTCCTTTCTTGCTTAGAACCAAGAAAATAAAATAGTTTTCTTTCGAAAACTCAAAGACAACGAAAATCATAAAACAATTCGTTTTTGCTTAGAACCAAGGAAATAAAACAGTTTTCGAAAGAGCTCAAATCATAAAACAATTCGTTTTTGCTTAGAACCAAGAAAATAAAATAGTTTTCGTAAGAAAACTATTTTATTTTCTTGGTTTTTATTTTCTTGGTTCGAAGCAAAAACGAATTGTTTTCGTCGCTGAAAGTCGACGTCGACTTCAGAGACTTTAATCTCTGATGATATAGGTGTAAATATTTAATCTCTAAAAATTTCGATTTCAGGGCCGATTCATCATCAGTCGAAGATCCGAATAAAGATGCCCCAATGGATTTTCACAGTGATGGTCTCTCTGAATTTGGAAAAGCCGTTGTCAGAGAACTCAATAGATTAGGAATGTTAGTTGATCTCTCTCATGTTTCGATAAGAACCATGAAGGATGCACTGGCTGTTACAAAAGCGCCAGTTATTTTTTCTCACAGCGCTGCAAGAAGTCTTTGCAACTCATCAAATAACGTTCCAGATGATGTGTTAAGAAATCTAGTAAGAGAACTTCATTTCGTATATCAGTAACTTACTCGGAAAATATTTCTTTTTATAATCAATGCTGCATTCAAAAGTACTGACCATTCCCAACAGTCCCCTCTATTTTTCTCACAGTACCAGACTTCGCACTCGATAATTAATTTTTAAAAAAATAGCAAAAAGTAGCTTTCAAATTAAAAAAAAAAAGTAGCAAAAAAATAGCTATCGAAAAATTAAACTTGACGACCAGAAAAAAATCGTTTTAGACACTTCACAAAACTGACAAAAAATTCCATTCCATATTTTTTATTTTCCTGACTTTTTTCTAATTTTCATCAAAAATATTTACTTCTTTCTTATCCTGCTAATAAATTAAATTCCTGCAACGAATTTCATATTATTAATGAAAGAATTTAAATATTTATAAAAATAATTTAATTCTTGCGAAGAATTTTATAAAAATTTTTAAATAATTGATTTCTTTCGACTAATTTTATGCAACTTCTAAATTAAATAATTGATTTTTTTCGACTAATTTTAACCATGTTGAAGTCCACAACGTTGATCAACGAAAAAAAATTTTAAACTTAGTAAATTAATTAAAAATGACGCTGCAATATTGTCACAAAAATAGTTCGAAATAAAAGATTGATGTTTATATTTTGATAATAATTATTTTGCAATTAAATATTAAATTAAAAATAATACTTGAATGCATTAAATAAATTTATTTCGTTGACAAACGTTATGGACTTCAACTTCGTCTAATTTTATGCAAGTTCTAATTTAAATAATTGAATTCCTCAGAAATTTTTATTATTCATGAAAAGAATTCAATTCTCACGAAGATTTTTACAAAAAATTTTTAAATAATTGAAATCTGTTTGGAAATTTTATGAAAATAGTAGATATTGAAAATCATTGAATTGCGTAAAGTTTTTAAAAATAATTAAATTTTACAAAGAATTCAATTAAAATTTTGGACAATAATTGAATTCTTACGAACGATTTTATTAGAATTTTTAAAGACAAGTGAATTTCCAAAAAGAAATTTATTACTTTTAAAAATAATCGAATTCTTGTGATGAATATTGTTATTTATGAAAACAATTGAATTTTGCAAAGAATTTTATAAAAATGCCTCAAAATAATTGAATTTTCGGGAATAATTTTGTTATTTATCTTTAATAATTATATTAATTATATTATTTATGAAAATAATTGAATATAGTTGCTAAGAATTTTATTAAAATTTTCAAAAATAATTGAATTCCTGAGAAGAATTTTATTATTTATGAAAACAATTGAATTATTGCGAAAAACTTTATTAAAATGTTTAAAAAGAATTGAATTCCTGAGAAAAATTCTAATATTTTTATAAATAATTGAATTCTTCCAGAAAATTAAAAAAAACATTTTTTAAATAATTGATTTTTTCGAGGAATTCAAATTAAATTTTTAAGAAAAATTACATTTTTTGATCAATTCTTATAAAATTGTATTAAAAATAATTGAAATCCTGCCATGAATTTTATTATTTATGAAAATAATTGAATTATTACGAAAAATTTTATTAAAATCTAAAAGAATAATTGAATTATTTCAAAACAATTTAATTAAAATTGTATTTAAAATAATTGATTTTTTTCGAACCATTTTTATTAAAATATTTGAAAATAATTCAATTTCTGTGATAAATTCTAATATTTTTGGAAATAATTGAATTCTTATAAAATTTTTTTTAAAAAAACATTTTTTTAAATAATTTATTTTTTTGAGAAATTGAAATCAAATTTTAAAGAAAAATTACATTTTTTGATCAATTCTTGTAAAATTGTATTAAAAATAATTGTAATTCTATGATGAATTTTATTATTTATGAAAATAATTGAATTATTACGAAAAATTTTATTAAAATATTTAAAAAAAAATTGAATTTCCGTTAAAAATTCTGTTCATTTTTAAAATAATTGAATTCTTCATAAGAATATTATAAACATTGTTTTAAATCATTAATTTTTTCGAAATATAATAAATATGAAAATTTTATTTTATATAATTGAATTCTTGTGAAAAGTTTTATTTGTGAAAATAATTGAATTTTTCGATTAATTAATTTAAAGTATAGTATTAAAAATAATTGAAATTCTTCGATGAGGTTTATTATTTATGAAAATAATTGAATTCTTACTTAGAATTTTATCAAACATTTTTTTAGAAAATAGAATTTCCATGAAAAATGTTATGATTAGAGAAATATTGAATTGAGTATTTGAATTTTTGTGAGGAATTGTATAAAAATTTTGTTAAATAATTGATTTTTTCGAAATTTTTTGGAAAATGCTATTCTAAATTAATTGAATTGCTGTGAAAATTTTATTATTTATGAAAATAATTGAATTTTAGATAAATTTTATCAATTCTTTTTTAAATACTTCAATTCTTTTGCAAAATTTTATGAAAATACTCGATATTGAAAATAATTGAATGTCGAATATTTTTTAGAAATTAATTGAGTTGTTTTAAAGAATTTTATTATAATTTTTTACAATAGTTTTTTGGTTTCTAGTATTAGCAAATTTAAAGTACTGGAAATTTTCAAAAAAAAAAAAAAAAAAACAGAAATTGTTGCGTTTAGTGGCTGCAATCTAAATAAGTATCCAAATAGTAGCATAACGTAAAAAAAGTAATGAATAGTACATTTTAGTAGATAAGTGCGAAGCCTGCAGTACAAAAAAACAAACAATAAATAGAAAATATCTATTTTCTATTTATTCTATTTTTTTTTTTTTTTTTTTTTTTGTACTTATAAATACAATAAAAAGTCCTCATTGTTCATTTCTTCCATACATAAGATTACATTTCCATGTACAATACAGAAACAAAAAAAACTTGTTTGTACACAATAGTTATCAACAGTATTTTTCTTTTTCACTCGATAAAATTTGACGATAAGTTAAAAAAATTTATCTGTCAAGAAAGATGACGAAGAAATTTATCGAATGTATAGAAAAACTTTTGAACTATTCTCTAAGAGATAAGACATTTGAGATTTTTCTGTTCCAGTCTCTTAATGGTGGCCTCGTTATGGTTAGTTTTGATAGTGCTCATCTCAGTTGTGGAGATAAAGCTTCTCTGTTCGACGTTATAGGTAATTACACAAAAAAATCATTTCCAACATCGATAAGAAATCATCGATGATACACTTTATTTATTTCGTCTTACTGATTATCTTTTATATTGTTATTTAGCACACATAAACCACATAAGAAATACGGCCGGCGTCAATCATGTCGGCTTCGGTGCTGGTTATGACGGAATTTTAAGGTAAATTATAAAATAAAAATTAGCGTCGACGCTGAAAGTCGAACATTTTTTTTCCAGAATCGAAAAGAGTCAAAATCAAAGTTTGAGTTTAGTTTTAAAAAATTTTTGGTTCTGGTTCAGGCCCTAAATTTTCGACACTAATGGACCTAAATTCTGCAAACAGAAAACCTATCTTAATGAATAAAAGAATTTTTTCTTTTGTTTCTTTATTTTTATTATTGCACTATTTTAAAATGACTAAATCACATTTATTACAGTCCTCCGACGGAACTTCCCGACGTCTCCGGCTATCCTCTTCTATTAGCAGAATTAACAAGAGACAGAAGATGGTCGGCTTCGGACATAAAGAAACTTGTAGGTGGGAATCTTTTACGAGTTCTAACCGAAGTGGAAAATCACGCTCTAACACTTTCAAATCAATCGCCAGCTGAAGAGTGGATCAACCAAAATCTCATAAAAGACACTGCCTACTGTCGATATGATGTCACTTAAAAAAAAAAAAGTTTCAAATTTAAAAAAAAAATCAAAACAAATTTTTTATTTTTTTAAACAAATATAATGTGTGTAATTTCAACAAGAATGACGAGAATTTCTTAATAATCGTATTTTTTAAAATCGAAAGCGAATGTTTTAATATTAATACGCACTAATTGCATCTCATTTATTCATTACACACGTAATTTCATGTTCGAATGATTTCAATTTTTTCTGTAACTGACAGAACAAGTTAAATATGAGTGATTTGTAATTAAAATCAATAGAAAATTTTTATAAATTATTATATCATAATATCACACTTTTTCTACAGATATCAAATTGAGACAAAAAAACGAATCAAAACGTTCTTTCGCAACACTTTTGATTCGTTTTTTGTCTCAATTTGATATCGGCAGAAAAACTGTGATACAGTGAAACCTGTCCAAATAAAACTCGATTTTTTAAATTTTATTACAATAAGCAACCCTTAAAAAATTGTTTTATAATTCAATTTTGTAATATTTTTACAATATTCTGGAACTATGAGCAATTCTTGTTTGACATTTTTGAATGCAAACAAATTTTTAAAATAGAGTTGCATTCCAACAGGTTCGACTGTAATATTAATTTATATAAATAAAATGATTTTATTTGAGTGAAAGAGAAATCTCATTTGATTACATTCTTTAAATATTATTTAAACTAAATTGTACAGTTTAATAAGTTAGTTTATAAAATTAATTTTATTTGTACAACAATTTACATGAGAGGAAAAATAACAAACTTTTACATTTTTAATAAAATTTATGTAAAACATATCAAATTGTCCAATTTTTTTCTATTTAAACAACCCGATGATATTTTCTGCAAGCTTCGAACTCATCTACTAAAATCTACTATTTATTTATATAATAAAACTCGTCCAAGAATTTCAATTATTTTTAATACTATTTTAAATTAATTAAAAAATTTAATTATTTTCACAAATAAAGTTTTACACAAGAATTCAATTATATAAAATAAAATTTCCATAATATTTATATTATATTTCGAAAAAATTAATTATTTAAAAAAATGTTTATAAAATTCTTATGAAGAATTCAATTATTTTAAAAAATAACAAATGTTTTAACGGAAATTCAATTCTTTTTAAATATTTTAATAACATTTTTCGTAATAATTGAATTATTTTCATAAAAATGATAAAATTCATCATAGAATTTCAAATATTTTTAATACAATTTTACAAGAATTGATCAAAAAATGTAATTTTTCTTAAAAATTTGATTTCAATTTCTCAAAAAAAAAAAAAAATAAATTATTTAAAAAAATGTTTTTTTAAAAAAAATTTTATTAGAATTCAATTATTTCCAAAAATATTAGAATTTATCACAGGAATTAAATTATTTTTAAATATTTTAATAAAATTGTTCGAAAGAAATCAATTATTTTAAATACAATTTTAATTAAATTGTTTTGAAATAATTCAATTATTCTTTTAGATTTTAATAAAATTTTTCGTAATAATTCAATTATTTTCATAAATAAGAAAATTCATAGCAGGATTTCAATTATTTCTAATACAATTTTATAAGAATTGATCAAAAATGTATTTATTCTTAAAAATTTAATTTCAATCTCTAGAAAAAATCAATTATTTAAAAAATGTTTTTTTTTAATAAAATTTTTCGTAATAATTCAATTATTTTAATAAATAATAAAATTCATGGCAGGATTTCAATTATTTTTAATACAATTTTATAAGAAATTGATCAAAAAAGTAATTTTTCTTAAAAATTTGATTTCAATTGCTTAAAAAAATCAATTATTAAAACAAATGTTTTTTTACATTTTGTTGAAAGAATTCAATTATTTACAAAAATATTAGAATTTATCACAGGAAAATAAAATTGAATTTCAAAGAAGTTTCTTCTTGAAAATTCAATTATTTTAAAGAATTCTAATTAAATCATTCCCAAGAATTCAATTATTTTAAAAAATTTTAATCTTATTTAATATTTAATTCTTTGTAAAATTTAATTATTTGTAAAAACTTTTTGCAATTTAATGATTTTCAATATCTACTATTTTCATAAAATTTCAAACAGAATTCAATTATTTAAAATTTTTTTCTAAAAATCTTCGTAAGAATTGAATTCTTTTTATGAATAATTAAAATTTCTCAGGAATTCAATTAGTAGGTATTTAAATTAGAATTTGCATAAAATTAGTCGAAAGAAATCAATTATTTAAAATTTTTTATAAAATTATTCGCAAGAATTAAATTACTTTTATAAATAATTCAATTATTTTGAGGCATTTTTATAAAATTCTTTGCAAAATTCAATTATTTTCATAAATATCAATATTCATCACAAGAATTCAATTATTTAAAAAAGTAATTAATTTATTCTTGAAAATTCAATTATTTAAAAAAAAATCTAATAAAATCGTTCGTAAAAATTCAATTTTTTGATTTTTATAAATAATAATATGGTTTTTAGGAATTTAATTATTTTCAACAAAATTTAATAAAATGCCACACAGGCATTCAATTATTCTCAAAAATTTTAATAAATTTCTTTGTAAAATTTAATTATTTTTAGAAACTTTTCGCAATTCAATGATTTTCAATATCTACTATTTTCATAAAATTTCCAAACAGAATTCAACTATTTAAAAAAATTTTTGTAAAAATATTCGTAAGAATTTAATTCTTTTCATGAATAATAAAAATTTCTCAGTAAGAGAAAAACCTTTGACAAAATTGCTAGTAAAACATTTTTAATTTAATAAATCATTTAGTATTATATAATTAATAAAAAATAATGTTAATTTCGAAAATTATTTAATTATATTTATTATTCAGAAAGGTTTGAAATTTTTTTGTTTAAGCATCAATTTACAAACTTATCGGAAAACATCTTCTTTCTACACTTGGTGCAAAATATGCCCATTACCTAATACTTTAGTTTTTATTTCTTTAAAACGATACAAAAAATTTCAGATAAAAAATTACACAATTGAAATTGTTCTGCATGTTCTAAAATTTTTCTCTAGATTTTTTAGTTCAACTTTTATTTTTGTTAGCACTAAAAAAATTACAGTATATTCGATATATCCGGAATGCAGCTGCTGCAGTATTATATATAGGAAGTGTTTCTTTCTTTCCTCTTTTGAAAATGACTCATTTTTTTTTAAAAAAGCATTATTGAGCGAAACTCTTTGTGAGAATAAAATGTATTATATATTATACATTGCGGGCGACGACTTCTTAAAAACGTGACAAGGAACCTTTAATAGTGTTATAGTGCATTAGTCGCGATGTAAATAAAATTGAAAATAAGATGGAAATTTAATTAAATAAAAACCGACGACTCTTGATTTCATTAATATATTTATAGGATATTCCTCCCACCTGTATAAATACATGAATTATTCAGACCAAATGCATTTCGAAGGTGTTTTGCTTTTTTTTTATTTCAGTAGCTCATGCATACAAAGAATTCAAGTTTATTGTTGATCTGATTTATATTTAAATGGAAAATTCTACAAAACATTTTGGAATGTTAATTTTTAGATATAGATATAGGTATTCATGATCAAGATGAAGTTTATGTATTTTAATTTCCTTTTTTTTCATTTTGCGTTAAATGGGAAAAAATTCATTAAGTTTTTATTTTTTTCGGTTGATGGAAGTAATTTGAGTTGGTAATAAATTAGTTTTGTTATCACATTATTTATTCAATGAATATTCGAGTGAACATGGAAAATAATTGATTTATCACGTGAAGATTATCTTTTTAAAGAAGGAAATTTTTTTCCTTACATAATAATATCCTCCTGAAACGGTACAATAAATATTACATGGTCACACACTGTTCTTTCTATAATGTTTATGTTTCCACCACTATTGTGTAAAATTACCATTTATTATAAAAATAAATTTTTCAAGTTCACGACATTTATGATAATCGAATTAGGACGCTATTCTTGTTACACAAAATAATTGTTGTGGAAGAATCAACTGAGAGTCAAATCCGTAAGCCACATTCTACCAAATTCTTAATGAAGCATTAAAAAGAAATTTTTTGTAAAGAACTTTGTTTCAAATGTAAAATAATTATAATTAATAAAAATATAAGAAAAATTTTAGATGAAGAACATTCTCAACATTATATATAATTATTTCTCCTCACGTTAGGAAATCAGAAAAAAGATTTTTTTCTCTTTTTGAATCAGAAGTTAAATATTGTAATATAGATCGATAAGTGAGAACGGAACGTTCTGATAAGACGTGAACGAATCATCAAGTAGAAGTAGTAGTCTATATGATCAGCCATCCGAATTTTTTTTTGAGAAATTTTTCAAACATCAAACTAGTTATGCCACTTTCCATCTCAAAATCAGAGCACACCGTTTCAGAAAATAAACAATGTGTTATAATAGTTATTTATTTTACAATTATTATTATCATTATTATTAATATTATTATCATCACTGTTTTTATTATTACCATTTTTTATGTTGGTATTAATAATACTATTATTGTTGTTGTTATTATTAATATTATTAAACAAATAATAAAATTATAATAATTTTAATTTGTTTTTAAAAAATCGCTTTTTATTTCAATTTTTATAGATATTTATACTATTCTCTAAATTTGAATCAGTTAAAAATATATTTAAAAAAAGATTATCGAATTAATAGAAATTTTGTGAAATTCAACTGAAAATAATAAAATTTATCAAAGAATTTCATTAAAAACTTTTTAACGAATCGAATTTTCAAAGTATTTTATTAATTTAATAATTGATAAATAATTGAATTTTATAAAGAGTCACATTCCAATGTATTCATGTTTCTTAGTGCGAAGATTAATAATTAAATTTTTTATTAGTTAATTTAAAGAAAGATACACACTTAAATTTTTTTTAATAAAATTGAATTTTTGCAAAGTTTTTTTGAAAATTCTGAAAAAAAAAGATTTTTGAAATTTTTCAATTCTGTTGTTTCAAGATAATTGAATTTTTATTAACAAATATAATTGAAAATTTTTGAAATAATTAAATTTTCTTTACATTCTATTAAAAAGTAATTAAATTTAAATTCTTTTAAAGAATTTTATTTAAATTTTTCGAAAATAATGAAGGGAAGTTAGTCACCGTAATTGTAATTTTATTTTTAAAAATTTCTTCGCAATATATTCAATTATTTTCATAAATTTCCATAAAATTCTAAAAAACAATTCAATTATTTTCAAAAGTAATAAAATTCTTCGCAGAAATTTAATTATGTTTAAAATTTTTTTAAATTCTCCTCAAAATTTCAATTATCTTTATAAATAATTAAATTGTTTTCTACAATTCAATTATTTTCAAAAATTTTAATAAAATTCTACGCACACATTTAATTATTTTCATAAATATGTAATAACATTCTTTGGAAGGATTCAATTACTTTTATAAATAGTAAAATTCTTTGCAGAAATTCAATTAGTATCAATACATTTTAATAAAATTGAAATTATCAAATTTCCAATTATAATTATAAACAGACAAGATTATTTTTAAAAAATTGAAAAAATTCTTTGTTCAATTCAATTATTTTTCAAAATTTTAATTAAAATTATTAAAAGAAACATTATTTTCAAAAAATTTAAAGAAACTTGTCAAAAGTATTTAATTATTTATAAGAACTCTAATAAAAAAATTTGGAAGCCATTTGTAGATTTATTTATGTTCGAAATCAAATAAATTTAAAG